GTGTGTGTATATATATATATATATATATATATATATATATGTATATATGTATATGTGTGTGTGTGTGTGTATATACGTATATATATATATGTACATATATATATATATACGTATACACACACACACACACACACACACACACACACAATGGATTATTATTCAGCTTTATAAAAGGACATTCCAATACATTACAACATGGATGAATCTTGGGGATATTATGCTAAGTGAAATAAGCTAGTCACAAAAAGACAAATACTTATGATTACACTTATGGGAGAAACCTAAAGTAGTCAACTTCATAGAAAGTAGAATGGGGATTGCCAGAGGCTGGGAGAAGGGAAGAGAAGTTGTTGAATGGGTATAGTTTCAGTTTTGCAAGATGAAAAGAGTTCCAGAGATTGGTTGTACAACAGTGTAAATGTACGTAACACTACTGAACTGTATACTTAAAAATGGTTATGATAGTATATTTCATGTTATGTGTATTTTAGTATAATTTAAAACACACACACACAAAAAGAGGTCCATTTTGGAAATTATAATTAGTTAAGCCTTTTGTTTGCAAGTGATAGAACCCCAATTTTTGAACGGGCTTTGGCACAGGAAGGAGGTAATGAGATTTACTGGCTCTTGGAATCAAAGGAAGAATTGAACCATGGGGAGGGCAGGAAAATGGAGCTTCAGGAACAACTGAAACCAGGGACTTGAGATTTTCCAAGACTCACTGTTTCTCACCTCTACTGCTTTCTGCATGTCAGCTTCATTCTCTTTCTTTGCAGACCAGCTGGATCCACATGGTAGGATGCATGACTGCTGACAGCTCCTGTGTTTTACATTTATGGCTTCCACACTGGAGAAATTTTCTTTTTTTCTTAGTTTCAGTTCAAAAAGTTCTGGGTAAGAAGGACTTTGATTGGCCCATCTTGGCCTAGGACCAGTGCCACAGGGTATGAGGTCCTTTAAGACCATACTATGCAATAGTCAGAAGTATTTATAGAAACATGAAAAAGAAACAATGATTTCTATAACACAGTATCAATTATGTACATTTAAAACATACATACACAAAACACTACATATTATTCAAAGATGTATATCCAAGGACATATTTCATACATATTAGAGTGGTGACCTAAGTGAGGAAGTTAGGAACACGAGTGGGAACTGGAATGAAGGGAAAAAGATAAAACGAGAAAGGTCTTGTTGATGATAATGTGAACCAAATAGTATAAGTCGCTCAGATCTCTGCACCTGAGGACAAAATAGGAGCAATGAAGGGCATCAGAAAGCAAAGAAAGAAAAAGAGAAAAACCAAAAGAAAAAGTAGTCTTGAGTGAGTGAGGGGCAGTTTTAAATAGAGAAAAGGAAGGGGAGAATGTTGAGGTGATGACTTCTATAGAAGTTCACTAGAGATAGAAGAGACATACCCCAATATTGGATTGAATATGGGGAGTGAGGTTGATGGAGGTGTCAAAGATAACTTCTGAGTTTTGAATGGCTGTATAATTTATTGAGATATAAGACTGATAAAGAAACAAGTATTTTAGGGGAAAATCAGAGATTTGATGAACTAAATTCAAATTATAAGACATCCAAGAGAATGTCCTTTAGGTTTTTTTTTTTTTTGCCAGAAATGTATCTATTTTAGTCTTATTTCATTTATGAAGAATGAGCTCTTCAATTTATTTATCAAGTACTGTTCTTTTTCCCTTGTTAATTTCTAATTTTATCTTTTCTTTTTCTACCCTTGAGTGCTTAGCTTATTAATTTTCATTCTTTTTAAATGAATAAAAACATTTAAGGCTACAAATTTCCCTCTGAGTACTGCTTTAAAACACCATAGATTCTGTGTGCAATATTTTCATTACTCTTAATGTCTAAAGAATCTATATTAATTTTGTTTACTTTTTTGACCCATGAGTTATTTAAAATTGGTATTTAAAAAAAAATTTCCAAGTGGTTAGAATTTTTTAATTTGTAGTTATTCATTTCTAGTTTTACTACTTCATATTCAGAAATTGAATTTCTCCCTCTCCCATTTTCCAAATTTGCTTTCTTTTTGGATTACTCATAGGTGACCAAATCTGTACTGTAAGAATGTAAAACATTACAAGTGTATAGACCTTTCACGCTCTACCATTAAATTCACTCTCTTCCACAAAGATAACCACTTTAAAGTTTGATATGTATTCTTTCACCTTTTTTGATGTATTTACATAGAAATTTACATATGCAATAAATGATTTTGTTGCACACATATAGAACCATATTCTATATATTGTCTTGCATTTGGCTTAAAAAAATTAACATCTTGAAGACTGTTTCATGTCAACACATATTTTAATTCTTTAAACTCAGAAGCTTTCATTGTGATACAGGTCTGAATATGGTTGTCTTTTCATTTATTTTTACCTGGTATTTCATGAGCCCTTTAAATCTCATGGTTAAATTTAAATCCTAAATTCAATTTTTTCCATCAACTTAGCAAATTTTCTTCTATTTGATAATTGCTCTTCCTCAGTCAGTTTTGTTACCACTTTCTGGAACTAGTATTTGATTATTAGTTTTCTGGATCCATTCTCCATGTCTTCTGTCCTTATCTCTTAAGTTTTAATCTACATTTTCCTTCTGAATTATGGTAAAGTTTAACTTTTGTGCAGTTCACTGACACTTGCATTAATTTGGCAATCATATTTTTCCTGTTTAAGAAAGTTTTCATTTTATTTTCCATCTTTAAAAAAAAAACTGATGCAATGTCCTCTCCAATTTCAATGTAAAAACAAATTAGTATTTAACATTTCTTTCTACTTCTTTCATAACTGCCTTAAAGATTGCCATTTGCTCTGACCCCTCAAATTACTCCCTTTCTTTGGAATCACTGAATCTTTTCACGTATTTATTGGCTTTCTCCATCTGTTTCACTTTCTGGTGGCAAAGTGTCTGTCACATAATAGAACTGAATGAGTTGTGTCATATTGTTCAAATATTTTAGGCCCGGTCTAAGGAATAACTTGTAACTATTCTTTGATGGTATAGAGTTTCAAAAGACTAAGTGGGATTGGGAAGGAGCTACAGGTGGAGGGAAACAGCCTTGGGGGAGGAAGTTTCACCACAGTTTTGAATAAGGGTTCCTGAACAAAAAGTTAAAGTACCAGTCTTCTGATCCCGTTACATCCTAAAGATGGAGAAAAAAAATCAACCCGAGATCTAGGGAAGTCAAATAATTTTTCCAAGAATTCACAGTGATAAAGAAATTCCAAAATCGATTAATACTTCCTAATTTACTTCCACACAATGCTTTCCTCAGCAAGAGTCAATTACACTATCTCTTTTAAAGAATAAGTCGGGAGGAGTGGAAATATATTTTTCCATAAGGAAGACTTTGATACTCTGGTATTTATCAACCATGTCAATCTGGGTAATTACCTCAGTTCTCTGGGATTCGGTTTTCTCATCTTTAAAAATAAGAGGGAGGAGGGAGGATAATTATTCTTACAAGATCAGTAAGGTCCCAAAGTAAAAGCCTGAGGCACTAGTCCAGCCCTGTGTCGGGACACCCTGGCCTAAGATGAGTGAAGGCCGTATTGAGGGGTGCCTCCGTCAACCCAAGCCCCAGACCAGCACCAGTGTTCTCGATGGCCACCAGAGCAGCATCAGCTACCGCCGCCAACGCCCGCCTGGCCTACCTTAGCCAGGCTTCGTCTCGCCTCGCCTCACCTCACCTCACAGGCGCCGCGCCTCCAACACCAGCCTGGGCTCACCTTCCCCCGACCACACCTCTGCGCACGCGCGGCGTCCACCTCCCCCGCTCCGGATCGCGCTCCAGCACTTGCCTTCACAGTCGGCCGAACGTGCGTTCAGCGCTTTTCCTCCCTATACGGCCACCGTCGTTTGGGGAGGAGGACGGGAGGGGGCGGGGAAAAGGGTGGGAGGTGGGTGAGCGCGCGCGCCGCCAGTCCGTCGTGGTTTCCTGGCTGCGCGCGGCAGTGGCAGAGTAGCTGCAGCTGTAGCAGCAGCCGCGAAGATGGCGGAGGGGTTGGAGCGTGTCCGGATCTCCGCGTCGGAGCTACGAGGAATCCTGGCCACTCTGGCTCCGCAGGCCGGGAGCAGAGGTGAGTCGCGCCGCCCAGCTCTTGGGCCGGGTTTGCCCGCCCCGCCTCCCTCTCCTCCTCTGCCTCCTCCCAGCTCGGTCCGCGGCGCTCCGGAGCCCCCGCCCCTTCCCCCAACAGTGGGGGCGGGGGCCGAGGGCGGTCCCCTGGCGGACTTACCAGTTCCAGGGCCTGTGTGGGGTCCGGGTCAGCTAGCTCTGCTGGCCCTCTTCTGGAGAGCCCAACCCGAGTTCCTGCCTCCGCCCCCTTTCTCACTGCGAAGGTGACTGTTCCCCACTGCCCCAGCCCTCTCAGACCAACCCGTGGATTTTCAGCCGTCAGCAGACGCTAAAAGGAGTGGGTGCTGGGGTTTGGTGGAGGCCCCGGGGTGTATCGTTCCCAGGAGAATCTGCAGGCCTGCTCGGTCATCTCTTTAGCGTTGGAGAAATGGAACTAGGAAACTGAGGAGAAAGGTTTAACAGCTCTGGACTTCCGTGCTGAACTTTTTTCTCCAAGGCAGGCTTCTGAAGGCTGCGCCATTGAAGGGATGCAGCAGTACCTCAGAGAGTTGACTCTACTCTGGTTTGGCCTTGGCATGTGTGGGAGCAGTTTTTATCAGAGTGAATGCTCAACTTTCAAGTTAAAGTCCCCAGCCACACCAGGAAAGCTCCAAAGAAGATTCTAGTGTTTCATCTCTTCTTTGTTAGGCATTGGAGTTGTGTAGAATGGTAGCTGCGTTTCTGTAGACCCGTGGCCAAAGTCTATGAAGTTGGTTTTCGTTGATTAACTGAATTGGATTTTTCAGGTTGTTTTCTCTTTCTGCTCTGGATAGTAGTAGCAGTAGCTCTTCTCCCTCCCTCCACTTTACCTAAGTTATAAAGGCTGCTGAGGATGAACTATTCTGGAGCTAAACTGCTTTACCTTTATTCATACTTGATGAAGCAGTCTTTTAGACTTCTGAAAAAACCGAAGCAATGTCTTAAACTTCAGGGTTTGTTTTTGTTTTGTTTTGTTACACCCATGGGTGTAAATGCTGGAGCTTATGATCCCTGTTATGGGTTTGTTTACACTGGTGTTTATAGAATGATACAAAGACTATGTAGCATCCCATTTTACTCTGTGATCTCATTAATTCCTGTCACTTTCACACTGAGATGTTTAGTGCCTATTTGTAGTAGTCTCTCCCTTAACAGACAAAGGTAACTGAAACAAAAAATAGATACTTGCTTATCTGTCATTCAGTAAGTTCATGAATCCTGGAGAGTAGTTTCTGAAGTCCTGTGCTCTTACTCTTGAGTGCCCCAGTCCTTGGTATTTTGAGTGCATGTCACAATACTTCTATCATCTTCCAGGGAAAAGCTCCCTTATGGAACTTTTTCCTTCTCATATTCCATCATCATAGTAGCAGTTAGTCTCAGTATTCTAATGATGATAGTCTGAGCAGTATTTCCTTGGAATGACTCTGCTGGCTTCTGTTAGAGAGTTGGTGAGCATGAGTGGAGTTGAAAAATGTGGAAGGAGCTGCTTCCTTTTTGCTTTAGTGGGAGGTATATGATTGGATAATTGGTATCCTAAAGAAGAGGATTGTCCTGGCCAAGTCCAGAGACTGGAGTTGCAATTTTTATTCTGCAGAGATGTTTAGAACCATGGGTTATTATGCATGCCCCTTTTTGTATGTTAAAAGGACTTAACCACCTTGGAAAAAGGAAAAACTAAGGTGTATCTGAGGGTTCTGTAGTAGAGAACAGTCTAATGCTGAAATGATCAAAGATCTTTTATTCTGATGGTAATAGAGTAGTTTAGGGTTTTGGGGTTCCAAATATGACTTGGGTAACACATGATTTTTTTTCTATTTCTCTATCCCCAGTGGAAATAGCTTCAACACACTTAAGTTCTTAGCCTTGTCAGTTCCTGAATAAATATTGTAAACTTAGTAGAATTGCTGCTTCTGCAGAAATTTCCTTCTTTGTCCAGTAGTAATAGCATTTTGATACTTGCTTGACTTTTCTGTTACATTACCAGAATGACATTTTTTCCCCTTCCCTCCTCTATTTTTTTTCTTCTACGCTTTCTTCCCCAACGCTCTCTCCAACATCACAGAAAACATGAAGGAGCCCAGGCAGCGGAAAGATAACAGGCGCCCAGATCTGGAAATCTATAAGCCTGGTCTTTCTCGACTAAGGAACAAATCTAAAATAAAGGAACCCTCTGGGAGTGATGAATTTAAAGATGAAATTGTTAATGATAGAGATTCTTCTGCTGTTGGAAATGGGGTGCAGCTCATTAAAGATATCTGCAAGGACCTGGACAACCAACAGCAAAATGGTCCTATAGACCCAGAAAATATTCAGGTACAGGAGTCCTTTCCTAGGACTGCTGGGCAAGAAGATCCAAGCCTAAGAATTATCAAGAGAACAAAGAAGCCTGACATGCAGATCTATCAGCCTGGAAGGCGTTTGCAGACTGTTATCAAAGAATCACCTAGCCGAGTAGATGAGGAAGAAATCCTCAACCAGGTAGAACAGCTGAAAGTAGAGGAAGATGAGTATAGGGGACATATAAAGGAGGAGGTTGTGAATAAACCAGACAAAAATGAGGCAGAAAAGAGCCTAAATGGTGACAGAGTAAGGGTTACAAAGGGAGAAAAAGGAAAGAGGATTGAAAAAGGGGAGGTGATGAAGAAAGTGAACGATGACCCATCACAGGGGAAGCTGGGTTCTGCAAAGCGCTATTCTCGCTCAGACAAACGAAGGAACCGCTACCGCACTTGCAGCACCAGCTCAGCTGGTAGCAACAACAGTGCTGAGGGGACTGGCCTGACTGATAATGGATGTCGCCGCCGCCGACAGGATAGGACCAAGGACAGGCCACGACTGAAAAAGCAAGTATCTATGTCCTCAACTGATTCCTTAGATGATGACAGAATTGAAGAGCCTGATGGGCCCAGGAGGAGCTCGGAAAGGAAGAAACATTTAGAAAGAAGCTGGTCTGGGCATGGAGAGGGAGAGCAGAAAAGCAATGGTAAAGAAAATCGAGGCACTCTTCGTGTCACTTTTGATGCAGAAACCATGAACAAAGATTCCCCTATGGTGAGATTAGCTAGGGAGAATGTGGATAGGATAAAGCCTGACAAAGGCTTGAGCAGTGGAGGCAAAGGCTCTGAGAAGCAGGAGTCCAAAAACCTGAAACAAGAACTTCGGGGTCGTGGTCGTGGCATTCTGATTCTGCCTGCCCATACCACCCTCTCCGTCAATTCAGCTGGTTCTCCAGAGTGTACACCTTTGGGACCGCGGCTTTTATTTGGATCTGGTAATAAAGGATCTCGGAGTTGGGGCCGAGGAGGCACCACTCGACGATTGTGGGACCCAAACAATCCTGATCAGAAACCTGCTTTAAAGAGCCAGACACCCCAGCTACATTTTTTGGACACTGATGACGAAGTTAGCCCTACATCTTGGGGTGACTCACGCCAGGCCCAAGCATCTTACTATAAGTTTCAAAACTCTGACAACCCCTATTACTACCCTCGTACACCAGGCCCTGCTTCCCAGTATCCTTATACAGGCTATAGCCCTCTGCAGTATCCAGTGGGCCCTACGAATGGTGTATACCCAGGGCCTTACTACCCAGGCTACCCGGCTCCATCAGGACAGTATGTTTGTAGCCCTCTCCCTACCAGCACCATGAGTCCTGAGGAGATGGAGCAGCACATGAGGAACATGCAGCAACAGGAACTACACAGGCTTCTCCGGGTGGCTGACAACCAGGAACTGCAGCTCAGCAACCTGCTCTCCAGGGACCGCATCAGTCCTGAGGGCCTGGAAAAGATGGCTCAACTCAGGTATGATACGTTCCACCCTGGCTAGTGGGAAACGGAGATAAGCAGGAGATGTATAGACTCCTATGGCTGAGGAAGGTAGAAACCTTTTGGGTAAGCCACTGGGTGTTACCTTCCTTTCATATTTTTGTTAGGGGCAGTTGGAAAAAACAAAATTTTGTTTCTAGACTTAGAAATGATTATACTTCCCACTTTTTGTTTAAGAAAAAAAATTATCTTTAAGAGAACATGGAATCTGGAAATGGAAATGGAAAAGGAAAGACTTTCCAGAATGCCAAGAAATGAACAATGTATAACTTGTGGTGAAGATCTTATTTCAGCTGTTAAATTTAGGTGGACGCATATATGGGAAAAACTACTTTCCTAGACATAACTGTCTTTAGAATGAACTCCTGCTGTGCAGGATGGAAACTAGAATGAGTATTATACCTGGTGGCATTTTGGATTTCCACGAAGGAAGATGTTTAATTTGCAGGAAGCTAATATCTTGGGTCTGGCCTTTTCTGTGGTGTATTTGGAGCTAGCAGTTGCATGTATTTTATTCCAGAGCTGAACTGCTGCAGCTTTATGAGCGCTGTATTCTGTTAGATATTGAGTTCTCTGATAATCAGAATGTGGATCAGATCCTGTGGAAGAATGCTTTCTATCAGGTGATTGAGAAGTTCAGGCAGCTTCTCAAGGATCCGAATGTTGAGAACCCAGAACAGATTCGGAACAGACTTTTGGAGCTCTTGGATGAGGTAAACTATCATCTTGTCCTCAAGATAAAGACTTTAGCATCTTATAGTTGTGATGGGTTTTTTACCACCTGAAATACTGTTGTATAATAGAACATTGAGAAAAAAACTGTACACATTTTCTTGGGTTTAGGCCTACCCTACTCCTGTTGCTTCCTTGAGACCATAACTTACAATTGGAGTTAGTTCTGAGCTTGGAAGCTTTCTGAATGTCTTAGCTGTGGGTAGTGAGTTTGGGGAGTGGGAGTGGGGAGAAGAGTGTGTGCATGTGTTCATATCTTTAAAACCACAGATAGTCTGATACTATAAATTTTTCTTGGTGGCCACTATATACTGTATATGTCTCTCTTTACATCAGATGGCTGAGCACTAGCAGAACTGAAAGGATCACTTGCCCAGTTTCTGGTGGGTAGATTGGATCAGAACAGACTGATTCAGCTGTTTCTTGTTTTTTCTCTTTATAGGGTAGTGACTTTTTTGATAGTTTGCTTCAGAAGCTGCAGGTTACTTACAAGTTCAAACTGGAGGACTACATGGACGGTCTTGCCATTCGTAGCAAGCCATTACGCAAGACAGTAAGCCAGTTTCTTTATCTTAAATTTATTCATTCATTTAGAAAGCATTTATTAGTGTTACATGCTAGGCACTGTGCTGGGTGTTGAGGATACAAGAATGAAAGATACAGTCCATTGGGGAAAGACCCATTAAACCAACAATTATAATGTAATGTCATAAATTCTATGATAATGGTATGTATAGAGTGTTGAAGGGGCATAGAGGGAAGTGCATCTGATATAGATTGATGGGTCAAGGAAGCCTTCTCAGAAACAATATGAAGTTGAATTTTGAAACATGGCTAGGAGCAGAAGGGGCAGTTTGAATACAGGGCACAGTGAGAGAAAACCAGGCCTTGTAGGAAAAGTGCAAGAAGTTCATTCAGTATGTTGGTGTCTGTAATGTGGAATTGGGCTGTATAGGAGGTGAAGCTAATGAAGTAGGAAGGGATAGATCAAAAACTCTTGTATGCCACATTGAAGAGTTTGGACTTTATTCTGAAAGCAGTTAGGAGCCATTGATTGATTTCCAACAAATAGATATCATTGATTTGTTCTTAACAACAAATTACTCTGGCAAATGGGCAAGAGTGAAGGTAAGAGAGTCACGGTATGGGCCTGAACTAAAGTAGCAGTAGTGGAGGTAAAAAAGAGGAGATAGATTGGAAGGATACAAAGGAAATAGAATTGTATTGCTGGCTGATTTAGTGTGAATGATGAAATTGGAGGTATGAGGAGTCTAGATCATCTCACAATTTGTGGCCTAGGAGAGTGGCTGAGAAGGAAGAGGTTAGTTCAGTTTTGTATATGATTAGGTGGAGGATTTTGAAAATGAGCAAGTGACTATTTTGGTCTGTCTGGAGCTCAGGAGAAAGAGCTGGGCTGGTAATTGAGAGTCAGGTGATAGTTGAAGCAGGAGTTGGGATACTAAGAAGACTGAACAGAGCAAGGTGATCAAATTTTAAGTTAGTGGTGGGTGAAATTGTCAAGTACTATAGAGTCATAAAATGCTAAGATTACTGAAAAGTGTTCATTGGATTGGATGGCCTTAACACTAGTTATTTTAACTGGAGAGAATGGAAGCCAGATTTTAGTGAATGAGAAGTATGGCAGTAGATACAATGAGAAATATAGATTATTCTTTTAAGAATCTTGGCTATGAAGACGAGAGATAGTAGTTAAAAGAGAACATATTGTCACGAGAAGTTTGTTCTTAAGCCGAGAGATACTTGAACATATTTATGTGTTGAAGGAAAGGGCTAGAAGAAAGGAAGAGGTTACAGATTCATTGGAGAAAGGAGTGTCATTTGTGGAGCAGAGGTTTCCTCTTGCCTTTCTGCTCTTGATGATTTGCTATGCACAAATTCTATTACTAATCAACAAGTATTATTGAGTGTCCTACATGCCAGGTGCCATTCTAGGCACACACAATTCAGTGTGGAACAAGAAAGCCATGAACTCTCAGAGTTTAGAGTTTGTTTAGGGGTGAGTATAGATGCTGAATTAGTAACTGTAGATACAGTGACTCTGCAAAGGATGCTGTGGAAGTATAAACTGTAAAGGGGCTTAGAGGAAATATAGAGGGGTCATTATCTACTTCCTGAGGAGTCGTTATGGAGGGGTCATATCTACTTCTTGAAACTTTGTTCTATATTCAGTGACATGGTAATTTCTTGTGTGGGGGTGGAGTGGAATTAAATGTTAGGAAGTGATGTTCCTCAGGGAGGTTTTTAGGTTGGCCACATGTCTTGGGATTGCTAAGGGTTTACTCTGTTGTTTTCTCACTGAGAGATGCCAAGCCCATCAGTGAGAAAACGTGTAGATACATCTGTCTGTCTGTCTCTACACACACACACACACACACACACACACACACACACACACACACACACACACACACACACACACACACACACACACACACACACACACACACACACACACACACACACACACACACACACACACACACATACACATTTATATATCTCTGTGTGTGCGTGTGTGTGTGTGTTTAAAACTATACAGTCTTGGCATGTTGTAGATGTTTGGTGAAGAGTAATTTACTGTTTTAGGGAATTACTGTTTTGCAAAGGGAATGTAATGCAGTAACACAGTGCAGTGATATTAACAGTTTGAGGAGAGAAAGACTAATGATGGTAAAAAAAGAACAGAATAAACAATTGTCTTAATATTTGTATATCACTTTATAATTTGTATTTTTATCCTTAATCCCTTCAGTTGTCCTATGGAATAGATATTTTTACATTCTGATGAAGAAACTGAGACCCAAAGAGTCCCAGAGACCTACTTGAATCACACAGCTGTTATATATAGAGTCAGGTCTCCTGACTCTTAGTTTCAGAATGTTTTCTTCCATTTGCCTGGGACTCAAAATAAGAATGACCCCTCTCCCTTTAGCCACTTTCTCAGTAAGTTTTTCATCACATTGTTGGTTTTTTTTTGTTTGCTAGTCAAAGTTAGACTGAAAACTTTTTACTTTGTTGAGGATTATTAGTGCCTTATTAATGCGGCTCTGTCGTTTTGACCCTATCTCTGTCCTTTGGGGTTGAAATTAGAGTTTCTTGGGTATGCTACTGACTTATTGTTTTTCCTGAAGGTAAAATATGCCTTGATCAGTGCTCAGCGATGTATGATTTGTCAAGGAGATATTGCTAGATATCGAGAGCAAGCCAATGACACAGCAAACTATGGAAAAGCGCGCAGGTACTTTTGCCTTCTGTTCATTGCTCTTCTTTCCTGTGTGGTTTTAAGCTAAGCCTTATTATGAGTGATGGGCCACCTCAGCTGCCTCCTATATGTATATCCTACAGGTGTCTCTCTTGGTTTCTGTAGTCAAACTTTACCACTTAAGGGTTGTAGCTAACACTCCAGCTTATGTCTTTAGTGAGGACAATCAGGTGATGAATTGGGGAAGAGTTGATATAGAACTAGCTTTCTTCTTTTTCTTCTCTTCTTCTTTTTTTTTACTGTTTTTCTATTCCAGTTGGTACCTGAAGGCCCAGCACATTGCTCCCAAGAATGGGCGCCCCTATAACCAGTTGGCTCTGCTGGCAGTGTATACGGTAAGAAATCCATGGACAAGAGAAGAATTTTGCAGGCAGTACCTTAGAAATACGGATTTTGCTAACATCAGCTCCTGGAGCTAGATTTCATCTGAATACTATAACCCAAAGTATATCCTCTTCTGTCTCCCATCCTCAAACTCTTTTTGTTACTGTTACCTCTTGAAGTAAATTGTCAGGAATTCCTCACTGCAGTTGAATCTGTACTTCCACTTTCACTGCCCTTAAGTTCCTATGCATATGCTTTAGTCAGAAACCACTGTTTTTACGACCAGAGCTGCTGCTCTGAAGCTTGTCTCTTTTCCCTTCGCTATCTCATTGAACTAGATTACTTATTTCTAGAAGGAAAATGAGGCTCCATTTACCTCTCCCCTCATATAGTCCTCAACTAGCTCTTGGTGCTCAGATCCTTGTTTCCTTTCTCCAGATCATCCCCTTATTTCTCTTAGCTTTTCACCAAAGGAGTATCCTTAGTAGAAGCACAGTAAATGCTTTTCGTTGAGTAATATTCCATTGTATGAATGTACCACAGGTTGTTAGGCATTACTCTAATCGAAAGACATCTTGATTGCTTCTGAATTTTGGCAGTTACTAAAAAAGTGCTGTAAACATTTGCATGTAGGTTTTTGTGTGGACATAAGTTTTCAACTCATTTTTGTGAATACCCAGAAGTGTGATTGCTGGGTTGTATGGTAAGAGTATACCTGTGTAGTTTTGGAAGAAACTGCCAAACTGTTTTCTAAAGTGGCTGTATCATTTTGCATTCCCACCAGTAGTGGATGAGAGTTCCTGTTTCTCTGCATCTTTGCCAGCATTTGGTGTCAGTGTCCTGGATTTTGGTTATTATAGTAGGTGTATAGTGGTATCTTGTTTTAATTTGCATTTCCCTAATAACATAGGATGTAGAACTTTCACATGCTTATTTGCCATCTGTGTCTTTTTTGGTGAGGTGTCTATTCAGATTTTTTGCCTACTTTTAAATTTTGTTGTTGTTTTGAGTTTTAAGAGTTTATTGTATATTTTGGATACCAGTTCTTTATCAGATATGTGTTTTGCAAATATATTCTGTTTGTGGCTTATCTTTTTATTTTCTTAGCAATGTCTTTCACAGAGCAGTTTTTAATTTTAATGAAATCCAACTTATTAACCTTTTCTTTTACGGATTGTGCTTTTTGTGTTGCATTTAAGAAGTCATTGCCACATTCAAGGTTACCTAGATTTTCTCCTATGTTTTCTTTTAGGAGTTGTATAGTTTTGCATTTTACATGTAGGTCTGTGATCCGTTTTTAGTTAGTGTTTATGACAGGTATAAGGTCTGTGTATAGGTTAATCATTTTGCATGTGGATGTCCAGTTGTTCCAACACCATTTGTTGGAAGACTATCCTTTCTCCATTGAATTGCTTTAGCTCCTTTGTCAAAAATCAGCTATTTCTGGGGGTCTCTATTCTGTTCCATTGATCTATTGGTTTATTCTTAGGCCATTACCACACCGTCTTGATTACAGTAGCATTATTGTAAGTCTCGAAGTCAGGTAGTGTCATTTTTCCAACTTTGTCTTTCAATACTGTGTAGACTGTTTTGAGTCTTTTGCCTTTCCATATAAACTTTAGAATCAGTTTGTTGATACCTACAAATCTAGTGAGTGTGAACTAGTATCTCATTGTGGTTTTGATTTGCATTTCACAATGACTAATGATGTTGAGCATCTTTTCACATGCTTATTGGCCATTTGGAAAAATGTCTATTCAAATCTTTTGCCCATTTTAAAAAAATTTTAAAAGTTTAATTGTAAAATATACATAAAATAAAATTTACAGTCTTACCCATTTTCATTAGTGTTAAGTATGCTTACATTGCTGTGCAACCAATCTCTAGAACTCTCCTCTTAAAAAACTGAAACTCCATACCCATGAAACAACAACTCCCCATTCTCCCCTCCTTCCAACCACTGACAACCACCCTTCTATTTTTCTCTATAATTTGTCTACTCTAGGTACCTAAATTAAGTGGAATCATACAGTAGTTGTCTTTTCGTGACTGGGTTATTTCACTTAGCGTTATATTGTCAAAGTTCATTCATGTTACAGCTTGTATTAGAACTTCTTCCTTCTTAAGGCCTAATATTCAGTTGTATGTATGTGCCACATTTTGTTTATCCATTCATCTCTCATTGGGCACTTCCACCTTTTGGCCATTATGCTGTTATGAACATGAGTGTAATAATATCTCTTCAAGATCCTGCTTTTAATTCTTTTGGGTATATACCCAGATGTGGAATTTCTGGGTTATATGGTAATTCTGTTTTCAATTTTTCTGAGGAGAGCTTCCATTTCCTCATCTTTAAAGTGGAAATAATAATAACTATGTGGCAGTGTCCTTAGATTTAGAGATAATATCTATGAAGTGGTGATCACTTGCTTCATTCTTAATTATGCTTAATCAGTGATGTTGCCATTGTTATTTATGATTTTAAAAAATAATTAGGCGAGTTGAACATTCTTTTCCCTCTAAAAACAAAACATAATTGGCTTTTATATTTTATGAAGCTCTTTATTCTTTTTCCCTCTTATGAATATTTGGCTCTTGAGTACCTCTGTCTATAAGGTATAGTACTGTGCAAGAAGAGATCTCTGATGTAATTGCCATGGCTTCTTCCATGGATAGCATTCTGATTTTCTTACTGGAATTCCTCACAGCTTGGGGCACAGGTTGGAAGAGATAGGGTGTTTTTGGGTCAGCTGACTTAGGCTGGAGTCAGAAAGAGAATCGGTTGACTCAGTGTCTCTGGCCTCTTTCCACAGAGGAGGAAGCTTGATGCTGTATATTACTATATGCGCAGTTTAGCTGCCAGCAACCCTATCCTGACTGCCAAGGAGAGTCTCATGAGCTTGTTTGAAGAGACCAAACGAAAGGTGAGTGGGAATACTGGCAGAATCATTCCTTCCCAGAAGAATGTGTTTCTCTTAGTGCTTCTCTGTCCTTAAGGGAATGTCTAATAATGTCCTCAAGGAGTGCCATCGGACTGTGCTGATGGAAGTCAGTTGGTCCTTATGCAGAACCAAACTCATCCTTGGGAGGGCTTTCTGGGTCCCTTGATTGTACATGTTCCACAGCATCTAGTTTACAGAATTGACTTTTATGAGATAAGGCAGATGATACTCTGCTACTTTGGAACTATGGCTAAGTCTTTACTTTTTATAGTCCTTGGGCAACAAACTCAGGTGAGGCGAGCACTTCTCTTTATTAGCTGAATCCCAGGAAAGTCAGAGCCTGTATGTTTTGTGTGTTGTGCAGGCAGAACAGATGGAAAAGAAGCAACACGAGGAATTGGAACTGAGCCCTGACCAATGGCGGAAAGGAAAGAAGTCTACTTTCCGCCATGTTGGAGATGACACAACTCGCCTGGAGATTTGGATTCATCCATCCCATCCCCGGTCCTCTCAGGGCACAGAGTCTGGGAAGGATTCCGAGCAGGAGAATGGACTGGGCAGCCTGAGCCCCAGTGATGTAAGTTCCTGAGGGTGATGTAATGCATAAGACTAGCTATGTAAGTGTGGGTGCCTTCATACGGCAACTATGAGGCACTGTGGAGTTGTTTCCCAGGAATCACAGGGAAGGGGAACCACTTCAGGCTCCCTGGTGTTCTCATCCATCTCTTCAACCTACACTTCCTTTATCTTTACTATGCACTTCCCTTTCCCACCGCTGTGTGGCAGCGTAGAATTTAGTAAAGGTAATCTTTCTAAATGAAGATTTACTTAGTGTAGGATAATAATTTTTTTGCCACTTTGGGTTTGTAGTCACCAATATGATGCTTAAGGATTCTGTGTGGGATTTTGTAAGCTAGGGAGAGAGCATGGTATTTGAAAAACTGCAAATGGCTGGTTCATTGTACCTTAATAACATTCATAGTGGAGTGGATGGTGGGATAATCCAGTACCGAATCTTGAAGGGTCATGCAGTAAATCATTTGACCTTTATCCTGAAGGTGGTATGGAGCTATTGAATGCTTTAAGTAGGGAAATACAGTAGCTGGGTTTCTGGCTTAGAAACTGGGTAGATAATGGTCCATTTGCTGAGACTGAGAATAAAGTTGGTTGGTTTTAGTGAATTTGGATTTGAGAGAAAGAGGATGAATTTAGTTTTGGACATGCTGGAGTTTCTATAGGACATTCAAGTGGAGAGTTTTAGAGGCTAACATCTGAAGCTGAGGAGAGTGGTCTAGGTTAGAGATGAAGATATTTGAAGACATCCTCTTATAGATATTAATGGAGCCATGAAAGATGATTCAGTTATTCGAGGAGAAAACAGAGTGATAAGTAGTAGGTTGAAGATCTAAGAAAGAAAGGAGATAGATGGCGGGAGAGATCCTTGCAGAGGATGGGAGGGGAGTAGGATCCAGAGCACAAATGAAGGGATTAGCCTAAAAGAGGGTGCATGATCCCTCTTTCTTGTGCTTGAGGAAAAGGAGGAATAGTTCATTTTGGATGCAGATTAGTTTGTGGGTATTGGAGGAAGATGAGGGAGGGCCTTTTTGATGTTTTCTGTTTTCTCCTTGAAGTTGGATGCATGGTTGTCTGCTAAGAATGAGTCAGTGGTGGGATAGGAGGACTTGTTCTTTGTGGTTTAATTTAAAATTTCCACATATCTTCCTATATTTTTCTTAGTCTTTAGCTGTTTTCTGAATGACTCGGAAGGCACTCATTCCTTATAAATGAAACCGTCAACTTCTATGTGCCATTGTGTGCATGAGGCCTCGATATGTTAAGGTGCTTCTTAGGAGCTGCTGCTGTGGTAGAATCCCTCACCATTGCGCTCTTCTAGCCACTGGAAACTTATTTGAATAAGAGATAAATTGTTCTACTGCATTAGCTCCACTGTCGGTGACAATCTTTAAAATGAAGCAACAATGACAATATGAGAAAGCACTTTATGGCTTTGGCCTTGGCCTAAGGTCGAGGAGTATCCCTTATAAAGGTTATAGCTAATCTTATATAGATTTCTCTCTTCCATCAGGTATTTTACTTTTTAAATAATTTGTTAATAAGTGTGTTTTTATTCTTATGTGCATCTCAGAGAAGGCATTTTCAGGATGTGAGCTGTCATTGGATTCATTTAATTTTATTTTAAATTATACAAATCACATAAATATATTTTTAGTAAAAATTTCAAATAATTACAGGTACATGTAGAGTAAAATGTGGTTATTTGTTTTCTAAACTGTGAAGCAGTTTATATATTTTCAGACTACATGTCATCTTTGGGTAATTACTTCCCTTAATTTCTTTTAAATTTACATCTGTGAGTTTGGTCTTTAGTTCTAGACTACCAGAACTTGAGGAAGAAGGTTGCAGTTTCATAGCTCTTAGTTTATCCAGTCAGGAAACCACACTGCCTTTTTTACCTGCTTTCTCAGGCCCTAGTTAGCTTCCCATATTTTTTTCTTCATTATAGTAGGTACCCAGAACTCAGCTTGCATTCTCTGTTCCTTGGAACATACAGTTGATGAGAGTGGGGATTTATTCACATATGTTTAAATGATTCGACATCGGGGATATAGAGATTAAAACAACAAAAAATGGTCTTTAACCTCAGCTATGTGGGGAAGAAAGAAACAAATGATATGATTATAATGAAGTGTGCTGCATGCTAGGATAAAGGTAAACACAAGAGGCTGCAGGAGCACACAGTTAGAGCAACTAATCAGGGCATGGTTAGAGAAGGCTGGAATGAGGAGCCATTTTGCAGCTGAAGGATGAAGTAAGGGCATTTCTACTCTGAGGCCTGAAAGCTTGAAAGAGGCACAGAGGCTTAGGGAACTGTAGGTAGTTCAGTGTCGCTGGATGCTAGGATATGAGAACTGCTTTTGTTAGAGACTTGAGTCATCTTTTATCCCTTCTTTTCCTGTATCCCCACATCTAGTCAATATCAAGAGCTGTTGAATCTACCTCTTAAACATAATTCGAATCATCTACTTTTCTCTGTTTTCACTACCACCATCCTAGTCCATGTTATCATTTCAGTAATCTACAGACTATTGAAAGAAGTTCCTAATGACCTTTTCACATTTATTCCTGGTCCTCATTAGGCCTTTTTAGGTAGTAACCTGGATGAGCTTCCAAATACACATTTCTGATCGTGTTACTTCCCTACTTGAAAATCTTCACTTGTTTCTATTTGCTCTTAGAATCAGATCCAAAATCATTAACATAGTCTGTGGGCCCCACATGATTTGCCCTCTCTGCCACTTCTAACCTTATCTTATACCACTCTTCCCCTCTTTGTTGTTGCTCTCTGGCCTTACTGGCTTCTTCCTTTAAAGGCTCAAGCTTTTTTTCTGGCCCTATGGCTGTTGTGCATTCTCTGTGCCCACAGTGCTCTCCTCTTTTTTTCAGTCCCATTCTTATTTCATGCTTAAATTCTCAGCCTAAATATCACTTCCCTTTTTTAAGGGAAGCTTTTCCTGATCTCTGAGCCTGGCTGGTTTCCCTTTGTAATATCGCATTTCTTAAGTAATTTTGGGTGCAATTTTGTTGTTGATTAAGGTCTCTCTCTTGCTATATTCAAAGCTCTGTGAGAATGAAGTTCATATATAGTTCACTGCTTTATCCCCAGTGCCTGCACATAGAAGATTCTAAATAAATCTTAGTTGAAAACTTAAATAAGGGGAGGAACGGTGAGGGATGAGGCTGGAGAAGATAGGAGGGACTAGATCCTTCATAAGTATTGAGAAGTTTGCATTCAGGTATTGATGATCTTAAGCAGGGGGTTGACACAATCAAATTGTGTAATGATCACTTCAATATTTCTACTATTGGAAAGATTTTTAATTTTTTAAAGGGAATTTTTAAAATTGCAAAAGTAACCCCAATTCACTGTATCTAAATCAAACAAAAATATTCTTGCCTTCAGAGATACCACTATTAACTATTTGGTGGAGGTTCTTTTAGATCTTTTTGTAAGCATTTATAAGTGTGTACGTATGCACACATTACCTACATATGTGAAATATCTATATATTTTTTCCCAGCTTTATTGAAATATAATAGTTGCTCATATTAACATTGTATATTCAAAGAGTTTTTTCGATTTCAGTTGGCATACAATAATATATTTGTTTCAATTGTACGTCATCGTGATTAGAGGTCTATGTAAGTCATAAAGTGATCACCCCACTAAATCTAGTACCCCTTTTTCTCCTTACATGTTTATTACAACATTATTAACTACTTTTCTTATGTTACCCTTTATATCTCTATGTCTGTTTTGTAACTACCTATTTGTACTTAATCTCTTTGCCCTTTTTTGCAGTCCCCTCCAACCCCCTCATCTAGTAGCCCTCAAAATATTTTCTATGTCTATGAGTTTATTTCCATTTTTGTTGTTTATTTTCTTCTTTAGATTCTACATGTACGAGAAATACGATATTTGTTGTCTTTCTCTGTCTGACTTATTTTATTCACACAATACTTTCGAGATCCATCAAAGCAATATCTATTTCTATCCCCTTCCTTTTAGTCTGTGTGTGTCTTTTAATCTTGTTCAGGGGGTCATGGCTGTAGACCATGGACCATGGCTCCACTGGGGTGTGAACCCAGGACCTTCTGTGTGTAAAGCAGACGTGCTAACTGCCACACTATGGAACCTATCCTATCCCTTTCCTTTTAGTCTCTCTGTGTCTTTTAATCTATGAAATATATTTTTTTAACAAAAGTGACATTATGCTATATATGCCAATCTGCAGTTTGCTTTTTTAAATGATCAATTGAACATACAGTCTGTTCTGCTGTAGTATAACACATACATTTCTAAAAATCACTGTGCTGTGCAAAATCACACAATGAAACCATAGAGCTTATGAATAAAATTGGGTTAGGGAAACAACACTCAAAAATTTCCTCAGTGTCATATTAAAAAAAGGTATAAACTTAATAAAACAGTTGTACAATTTTGTAGATTTTCATTAGTTAAGAAATAATATAAATACTCTCTTGAAAAAGACAAATTTGCCTGTAGAAGTGGGCTTCAGAAGGATTGCAGTTTGTGGGTTATTGTGAAGTGGTGGAAGGAGGGTTATTTGATATTGGATGGGCAGCTGTGGATAGGTGTGTCTCATAACACGAGTTCACATGGTGAACTGCAGTAGCTGGTAGATGTATGTTTTGTGTATTCCTATGTAGCTCTGTTCAGTTGGGTGCAGTTTTCTGTGTTCACGTGGTATTTCTCATAAACAAAATCACACATAAGCAAATGTAAAATTTGTGTTATGCTCATATTATTTCCTAATATGTTGATCATGATGGAGCAAATTTATATTTTCAGAAGAAGCATTGTTGCAGAACTGATTGTTTTTCCACTAAATATATTTCCTTAGCATGTTCTTAATATAGCTGCATGCATGCTATAACATTATAAAGATGCATGTCATTTATTTAACTTTTATAAAATTTAAATTTGCTGTACATTGCTTGTTCATTTTAGTTGTCCTTTCTGGGTGATTAATCTTA